GACTGATGCTAATACTTCATGCTGTCGTCGACGCGTCAGTACGCTGGTAGTAACCAGAATATGAAAGAAAGACAAACATGCGACATCTCCCCAGTGAAATAAACATCCGCATCGCGTCCAACAAGCATCGATCCTCCTGACCCAGCGCATATCGCCACCGTACGAATGTCACTAAGTACGGCGGAGGGATATGCTACTTGAACTGAGTGCATACATCAGCCAGCGAAAACGGCAACCAAGTAACAGAAAGATTTTTCACCCTGCGATAAGCCAAGATGCCACTTCACCCTATCCACCAGCTCTTTCACCGACACTGGTTCATCTAGAAAGACCAACCGTCCTTCCGCACCCTCGCTCGTCCCACTCGTATCAAGTTTCTCGCCTACCAAGGCGCTGATTTGGCCAGGACCAAGCCCTTTGGCAAGCCAGTCATTCACGCCTCCCCAGACAGAGTCCAAAGACGTATGTGGAGAGAAAACCGAGATGCCTTCAACTGCGCAGCGGAGAAGAGAAGATTGCAGAGGGTTCGTGAGGGTCAGTGATTGAAGAGGCTTAAATATTGGCGGATGGTACGAGACGATGACCGGAGCCTTGAGTGTGATGGATTCCTCGACGACCGAGGGAGTGAGGCTGGAGAACGTTGAGAATTGAACAAGATGCTGTCGAGAACGTACTCGATGGTGAGTAGGACGCGATTGATGCCTTGTAGTTTGTGCGAAGGGGACTCTGGCGACGCCCGTAAGACACGAGTCAATCATCACGGATTCAACAAAGGATTCTACCGAGTAACAGTCCGACCTTTAACGTTGTCAACGAACGTGAACACGAGAACAAGTCGAAAATTAAGTTCTTACATTGTCCCATTTTTCTGCTAGCCGAAGAGGTCCAATGTTCTCCATGGCCTTGCATACGGTCTTGACGAAAGGAATAGACATCGAGGTACTCAGGAAGTGTCTTGACGTGAGCTTGAGTTCGAGAGACCGTCCGGAAAAATTCTCAGGTGGTAATGGTAATGATGAGAGCCCGAGGCGGTCCTACTTGCATCCCACGTGGCCTTTCTTGGAGCGCGACTACGACATCCTGGCAATGGACGACTAACAAAAAGTTGCGTTCCGCATGGCGCGCCACATCTTCCCTTGATTCGCGTCGGCGCCACTGACTGCTCTCCGACGTATACCCATATGTTCCGGTATCTAACACGATTCGGAGGTACAAGACGCAGTTAGCGTTGGACTTCCATCGCGCCAATACAAAGGTTCGCCGTTCAGTGGAAGCTGTTTGAAAGACCATTACTTATTTGCCTTGCAGCGGCGATGACTTGTGTCTACCCAGAACAAAGCTTCACCTACAATTCCAGGCGAACGGCTGCACAGCGTTCAAGCCTCTTACTGCGACAGTCATTAAGCACTTCCAGCGATCCACCTGTTCAGTCATTCTTCTCGTTTAGCACCCGTCTGACAGCCAGCCATTCATCCTCACGCTGGCCGATCGCAGACTGGGATATCGCAGTGCAGGGATTAGCTCGAACATACCATGGGCATCAGCTATCGAAGCTGATCTGCGACGTGCCGTGTGTGACATCCAGTCCGGGGCCATAGCCAACTGGTTCAAGCTCATACGAGACTACCGCAATCCAGACTGGCCTAAAAGGAAGGATCGGGAGGATCGGATGTGGGAAATCTCTGCCTGGCTGTGGAAATCGCACGATCACGATACAGAGCTGGCGGCGTATCATCTTTTGTGCCGTCTGCAAGGAAATATCATCCCTCGCCTGCACGGTGTCGTTCGTCTTCCCATTGCCTACACGACCCTCCACCCCATCATCGATACTATTCGAAGCCTTGCTTTGGAGTACATACCCGGCTCGAACATCGAACCAATACCTGGTTGACGTGTCCCGAGAAGGTGCTGAGACCATCTCCAGCAAGGTGCTGGACGCGTTCCGCGCCATCGAGGCAGAGAACTGTGTACTCCACAACGATATTCACATCGGCAATGTCGTTTTGCGGGACTCGGACAGATCTCCAGTCATCAATGACTTTGGACGTGCATACGTCAGGGAGCCCGGTTGTCCTGACCGCGAGTGGAGGGGCAATGTTGAGGGAGGTGCTGACACACAGTTTATGAGGAGAGAGCTGCTGGATCCGGCAAATGGAGGCTGGAAGAAGAATGTCACGTCATTCGTGATGCCAGACTACCACTACGACAAGCCTGTGGACTTCAAAAAAGTTTGGATGAATAGCGAAGGAACGCCGACTCGCTGTGACTCGTGAATCCCTGAACAAGTCGCTGGACCGTTCCTCGGGGAATTTGGAAGCCACGTGTCACACGAAAATTGGAGGATTCCGACGCATTACTGCAGCCTGAGTACCGAGCCTGAGTATGCTTCTGTACGCTCTCGCAAGTTTTCAGTCATGCGCCTCAGCGCAGCAAAAAGTGGACTAGAGTTAAGGTCATTTGATGGCACCGTTCCTACTTGCTTACATGTAAAAGGGCAAACATTCCGGGCCGAGAAAGCTACTTACATTCAAGTTCGACCCTCACTATTGTCATCTACTACTAACAAATGAAATGACTCCAGCCTTTGACCCGACAGTCCTCCGCATCTTCAAGGTCATCTTTACGCAAAAATTTGTCCGTATCCTCGCCTACTTGCGGTCGACTCTTTACATCGTCGACGATGGCAAATCAAGCGCAGCCACGAACGTAAGTGGGTTTGAAGCTAGTCATTGAATATGACAATACTCACCGTTATCATCAGAGACGACGACTTATATCTTCCCGGATCGAAACTCCAGTTCAAGTTCCAAGCTCAAGGGTCCACAGCATTCAAAGATCTGGCTGCTACCGTTGTCAAACACTTTGAGCCTCCCACTTGTTCTGTCGTCCTTCTAGTAAAGCGACCTGAACACAGTCAACCATATATCGTGAAACTGGCTGATCGCAGATTAGGCTATCGAAACGGCCTAAAAACGAGCGTGCCATGGTCATCTAAACTCGAAGACAATCTACGACAGGCCGTCCGCAAAGTCTATGCGGGAGCAGTACCCAACTGGTTTGAGCTCATCCATGATCGTGAAAAACGACCTGATCAGGACGATTGGGAGGATTGGATGTGGGAGGTCTCTACATGGAATCGTAAATTGACCATAGGGAACTCTGTGCATATCACCTTCTGCACCGTTTGCAAGGGAGTTACATTCCACGGTTTTTTGGCGTCGTTCATTTTCCCATTGCTTCCCATTCTACCCCTCTTCATCCCATAACCGATCTCGTCCAAGGTCTCGCGCTGGAGTATATACCCGGCGTCAGCATGGAAAATCTTAAGCTCGGCATCGACGTCTCCCTACGTGAAGCAGAGAACATCTCCAGTAAGGTGTTGGATGCCTTCCATGCGATTGAGGCGGAGGACTGCGCTCTCCGTCGTAAAGGCGGATTCTAAGGGTAGAGGGCGTTTTCGCAGGCCTCTGCGTGGCTATCGAGGTACTCACAATCTCTGTCGATATGGAGATATGGAGCTCTGCATGTCCATGAAGAGGGGCTGCTGGTGCCATCTCTGTCTCAGTGTCGACCCTCGGCTGATGCTGATTCATGAGAGACATTGGCTCCAGTGTCTCTTCTTCATCTTCACCTTCATCCCACATCCCTAGGTGAGATGAGCTCCACTCTCTCACTGTCATTCAACTATGACTGCCAATCCCAAGCATCAAGGCTCTGCCTCTTCTCTCATCTCATAAATGGCTTATTCAAATAGTCTCTCACATCTAACTAAATCTCATCTAGTATTACCATGCCATTACTGTACAAGTCACTAGCAATTGTTCCTGTCTGATCCTTTGTCCCTCAAATCTATTATTTTTATTTGTGACCTTGAATCTATCATCTGATGTTGAAAGTGACACCACATTGGCAAAGTGTTGTAAAGATCTCATTGAAGACTACATTAGAGGTACCATCAACATTATTGACTTTGCAGATAAACTTCACCAGCTTGGCCTTTCATCTCAGGCCACTCTGTTGAGCAGTGGACTGGGGAACCTGGGAGAACATAGCTGTGAGACTTCACAGCAATGTGAGTGCAGCAAGGGTTGGCCTGGAACAACAAAATAGATGTATCTGCTGTGAATTAGTAAGGTATGGTATAAGTAGACATAAGATACTCACATCTTACTGGGTGGTAAGTCACTAAGATGTGTAGCTGTGTAAATGGTGAAAATTGTGACAACTGGTAACTAATTTAGAGTCCATACAACTGTACCTGCAGTCATGGCTTGTACTCTCAATACTCTCACTCAAGCTTGACTGCTTGACCTATGTGAGGCCTAACAGTGTACAAAACCTCTCCAGCTTGACTTGAGCCAGTGGCTTTGTGAATATATCAGCAATCATATCATTGGTGGAGCAGTACTTAAGGTCAGCTTCACTAAGACTGACTGTCTAGCACATGAAATGGAACTGAATGTTGATATACTTAGTTCTGGCATGGAACATGGAGTCTTTGGTGAGCTGTATAGTGCTCTGGTTGTCTGAGAAGAGGGTTGTAGGGCTGATAAGCTGGGAGATCAGCTCTATGAATATTTTTTGTATCCAGAGCAGTTCTTTTGATGAGGCTAGTGTATGCAATACTTGAAACACATTCTGACATCACATTTGCAGTCACTACTCTCTCCTGCTACATGGAAAAGCCAAGAATCACCCATTAGCATACCACCCTCTGTATTTTCAAGTATCTGAAGGAGACAATATATCTCACCTCATACTTGGTGGCAAAAACATGTCTCTGACTGGATACATAGATGCTGATTGGAGCTTGCAGACACACAGGCATTCAATCTCTGGCTATGCCTTTTTTGTCAGAATCAGAGCCATCTCATGGAGCTCTAAAAAGAAACTGATCATCACAGCATCTACAACAGAGTTGGAATATGTCACAATGACTCAACATTGGTCAATCCAATGAGGCAAAGTTGACAGCTGCCAGAGAATTTTGGTGTGCCCAATATTTGGCAATGAGGGTTTTTGCATGTGGAAGGTCTTTTTCTGCATACCATTGGTTTTTCTCATTACCATACCCCTTGAAATGGACTAAAAACCACTGTTTCCTATATCAAATCTTATTGTCAAGAATGACATCAATTTTATGTTCATCTTCATCATCAATCACCACAGGTTTAGGTGGTGGTGGTTTCTGCTGATTAGAGAATTCAGCCTGTTGGAATGGTTTGAGCAAGGCTTCATTAAAGACTGGATGGATTTTCCAAGTCTTTGGAATGGATAATTCATATGCTCTATCACCTACTTTCTTTGTGGTCTTAAAGAGCCCTTCATATTTGTTGTCCAACTTTTTTATGGTTTTGTCCATCTTTAGGTTTTTCATGTCTAGTCTGATCTGATCTTCTGGTTGATACTTTTTTTCTGATGCCCTTTTTTTGTCATATTGTTTCTTCATTGAGTCTGCTGCTTTTAGGAGTGCTTGTTCTGTCTTATCATGGATCTTCTTCATTTCAGCAGCAAAATCTTTTGCTCAAGGTACTTGACTGTCTCTTTATGAGGGTTTCATTTCAGTGTTAGAGTGTACATCAGTGTTCATAAAGAATGGGCTAAAGCATGTGACAGAGTTTTCTCAGTTGTTGTGAGCAAATTCTGCTAAGGAGAGCCATTCTGCCCAATCATCCTGCTGGTGATTGATGAATATTCATAAATATTTTTCAATCTCTTGATTAACCCTCTCTGTTTGTCCATCCATTTGGGGATGGTATGCTGTCAATAGATTCCCAGTGATTCCAAGTAGCTTGTACAACTCTTTTATAAACTGTGAGATGAATTGTGGGTCTCAGTCTGAGATGATTTTGTCTGAAAGGCCATAGTGGACATATACATAGTCTCAAAAAAGTTGTGCCCACCCTTCTGCATTCAAACTCATGTTAGTGGTGATAGAAACAAGTTCTTTAGAAAATTGATCCACAACAGCTAGGATGGCATCATGTCCTTTGGACTCAGGAAGAGGGCCTATCATGTCTACTGAAATCACCTTCCATTTATCCAAAGGCATCTCATTGGAGTGTAATGGTGCTGCCTACTTTTAAGTGCTGGCTTTAGTTTTTTGGCATGTTTCACATTCTTTGACATAAGCTTCTACTGATTTTTGAGGGTTAGACCACTAATAGTTCCAGGTGATCAGCTCCTGTGTTTTTGCAATCCATGGGTGTCCTGCTGTTGGATGGTCATGGCAGGTGGCTATAATTTCCTCTCATAGCTTCTTGCTTGCTGAAATGTACAATCAGTTGTGGAAATAGGGTATCCTCTCCTCAAGGGACCACCCTTCCTCTTCATTGTCAATGGCCAACTGTACTGAGTCCTCTGTGGGCTTTCTCTCCCTCCACACCTGCCTCAAAATCTCAGGCATTGTTAGAAAGATCATGATGTTCATATAGAATATTTCTAGCTTGAGCACCACTATTTCTTTATTATCTCTTCTCTCTTAGTCATGGTCTGCCCTTCTGCTCAATAGATCTGCCTTCTTGTTGGCAGTGTCTGGTTTATGATGAAGGCTGAAGTGGTACTCCACTAATTCTGTTACCCATCAGGCCTGTCACCAGTTTAGTTTTTGTGGTTTTTTGAAATATTAGAGATTTTAGTGATCAGTCCATATTTTGAAGTCATACTTGGCTCCCATCAGATAATGATGCTATTTATCCAGGACTGTCATTATTGCAAGCAGCTCTTTGTCATAGATTTCATAATTTTATTCTGTGACAGAGAGTGTCTTTCATAGGTATGCAACTGGCTTTCACTGTTCCTCCTGTTCTTGGCTAAGAATGGCTCCTAAGGCCTCTTCAGATGCATCTGCCTCTACCTTGAACTTTCCATCATTGATGAGAATGGCCAAGATAGGATCTGAACAGATTCTTCACTTGATTTCTTGGAATGTCTGTTTCTGGGCTTCTCATTTTCACTCTATCTTTCTGGTGAGTTTGGTTAGTGGCAGAGCCACTCAGCTATATTCTTCTATAAATCATTAATAAAAGTTGGCAAATCCTAGAAAGGACTGCAACTCTTTCTTTTTTGCTGAGGTAGGCTACTCTCATACTCCTGCAATTTTTATAGGGTCTATTTATAATCTTCCTTCAGTGATGATAAGTTCTAGATATTCTATTTTCAGGGTTTTAAACTCGTCTTTTTCCAGTTTTAGATATAATTTGTTTTCCTGAAGAGTCTGTAACACCTGTTGTACAATTGCTTGACACTCTTCAAGGGTTTTGGAAAAGATCATTATATTATCCAGATAAATGGTGATCTTTTTCTGCATGATGAGATCTTGAAATATATCATTCATCATAGTTTGGAAGGTTGCTGGAGAGTTGGTAAGTCCAAAGAACATTACCAATAGCTCAAACAGTCCTTGATTGGTTTGAAAGGTGGCTTTTCACTCATTCTCTTCTTTGATTTAGATGTTATTATATCTCTATTGGACATCTAGTTTGGTGAAGTATCTGGCTCCTGATAGTTTATCTATGAGCTCTGAAATCAAAGAGAGTGGATATTGATTCTTGATGGTAAGGTCATTGAGTTTGTGATAATCCTGAACTGATCATAGCTTTCCATCTTTTTTTTTTATAAAGAAAAAAGGGGATGCCATAGGAGATTTGGATACTTGAATCCTCCCACTGGTTAGGTTTTCATTCAGAAATTTGTCTAATTCTTTATGTTTTGTCCTTTCTAGTGGGTATACCTTATAATATAGATTAGTATTTGCCTCTGGTATTAGTTCAATAGCATGGTCCCATGGTTTCTTTGGTGGTAACTCATCAAAGTTTTCTTTGCTAAATACATTGACAAAGTCTTAGTACTGTCAGGGTGCTATTTCTTCAAAGGATTTCTTTAGCTTTTCTGTATAGGCCTTGGCAGCCAACTCATTAGAGGTGGTGCCAGCCACTCATATTTTTAAAGCAGGCAGAGGATCCACTATCAAGAGTTACTCCCCTTCCTCTATTTTCTGCCATATCATTTTCTCTGGTTCATCTTGATCTGGGTGGATTCCTTGTCTCCTGATACAGATGCATCTATTAAAAACAACTTCTTCTTTCTTCCAGTCTATTTATGGATTGTGCTTTCAAAGCCAGTCATATTTTAGAAACACTTTTCAGTTGTAAAGATAGGTTATGGCAAAATCTATTTTCTCAACATGCCCATCTCCAGTGATCATTCATAATTCACAGTACTCTGATATAGACTCTCCATCATTGAGAGTTTCATCTGCATTGTATACTGGAATAGGTCTAGGGATTTTCCTGGTATTGAATCCATTCTATTAGACAAAGCCTTTATCTATAGAACTCCTCATGCACCCACTGTCTAACAAGGCCTCAGCACTCACCACCTGGTGGATGTCTAGTGTCTCTAACTAGATTTTGAGGATGGTTTCATCTCCACCCTTTCCTC